ATCATCACAAAGTACAGTATAACCTTGGTGCACCCATGATGAATGCACAAAAAGCTGGCGAGATGAATATTATAATACCCTTTGCACTGTGACGAGCAGTCAGTAACACATTTTTAAATGACAATGTAACATGATGAAAATAGCAGATTCTCTGACCAATTTACATCCTAGACCAAGTTTTTTCCCCCATGGTTCACTTGCTACAACAACAAAGTTGCTGCTTTCAACTCAAGCGTCAGAACCCTTTGTACTGGGTAAAAGTAATTTGCTGCATAATGCCACCTTAAGTAGCCTGGATAGAGATGGCAGAGTTTTCAGATTAGGCCAAACAGTGCCTTTTATTGTATGTGGCTAGTTTAGCATTGCCAAGCTAATTAGCTAAACAAACACCAATTAATGTAGGGCCGTGAAAAGTGACAGGCAGGAGACAATGAATGAGAAGAGCCACACTTGACAGCTACAGCAACACCCAAAGCTGCTCACATCAGTAGACTTTTTTTTCTTTTTCGTGGGCAGTGGATTTGGTGTAATCAACTAAAATAACTACCTTTGGTGCTAAACTTATTACAGTGATTACAAAGAGTTGAATGTGAAAAGGTGAAAGTATAGAGACATTTAGATGTCTTCCTCAGTGAACTCAACACACAGGGGTGTGGGTATTGTTAGAGACTCGTACACAAACCCACACGTAGGATGAACTGGAAGGGCCTGCGTCTTTATTCAACCTTAACAAAACGTGCACACGTAGGTTGAACTGAATGGTCCTGTGTCTTTATTCAACCTGGACAACTATGCAACTATGAAAATATGAATAGTCTCCATACATGTAAGAAAATAATAGCGTGGTCCAGATGATAGAGGCCTGATCGGCTTGCCTCCCACCTTTGCAGAGAACATGGATTGACCGATTTCAAGAGAAGAATACATTATTTGGGAATGGTCTTTTCCATAGACAAATGTTCTTGTTCCCTAAGGATTAGGCCAGCATTGGTGGTGTCTTTATAACAACACAGAATTGGCTGGTGTGCTCATATACGATTATGCCTACAACAGGGCTGGACAAATCCCAGGAGCCAGAGCTCCATAAAATTCACACCTGGCGTCTGACTTTTGAGGTTTTCTCAATGTTGTCAATGAAGCTGGCTCCTGCATCGGACAGATTGGTTTCCGAGTCCCATATTAACTTGTCCACTCCTGGTCTACAGTATTGATGACTGATCTGCAGCAGTCATGTCTACCAGCTGTCAATCTTTGTCTACAGAAGGCCACAGACATAACAGGGTGGTCAGACAATCCGGTGCAATGCATCTACACTCAACAGGTAGAGTGTTCCACAAACTCGTATACTTCTCAAAGTGCACAAGTGACTTCTGAGGTGGAAGGGAGAACAGGTTCTCATCCATTGACGATGGAGCTGTAGGTCATGAAATAATTGACTGACAACCATGGACATCCAGATCAGTCTCCTATAATCTCACATCTATAGTTACCTTGTGGTACAGTAAACTACAACATAGGAATACTATGGGGCTCATTTCTAAAACAGGAAGAAAAAGCACCAACTAGACAATTTGGGGCATATTTATATAAAACAGTGACTCTGCCATTTACTGCAGGTGAATCCCCCAGATACACGTGTTTTAAATAACAGCAACTGATTCAAAACCAGTGAATGTTTGCTGAAAGTCACATTCACTGCTTAATAAATAGACCCCGTTATGCATTTCATCCATTCAAGAGCACCAACAAATTGTGCAGAACTTTCTAGTGTCCGAGAACCATTGACACCAGTCTCTGCTGGATGGAGCTTATTATCTTATGGCCCTACAGTCACAATACAGGAACTAAGGCCAATTTGGGTGGAAGCCAATTGACCTATCAGAATGTAGCTGGATTGTGGAGGAAACCAAAGCACCACCACAAACTCATTTAAAGCCCATCTCCAGGCAAACAAAAAGGAGTACCCCTTCAGTGTGGATACCCCCACACTGCAAGGGATAAGTGCTCGTTTATGCCTAGGTGGTTGGAGTAAAGCAGATTTACTTACCTGGCCGTCGCTCCGGCCGGCTCCCTTTGGTATGCTGGAGCGGTCCCCACAGCCTCTGCTTCCCTTTACTCCAATGGTCTAATGTCATCATGCCTCATGTTAGGTTCTATAGACCTGCATTAGATGTGAGGACGCCGAGGGACATTCGAGAGGCGGGAAAAGAGGACATCGCTGACCGCCAGGGAAGTGGGGATCAGGTAAGTAAATGTGGTTTTCTCCAGCCCCTACAAAAAAATGAGCACTTAACCCTTGCAGTGTGGGGGTAGCCTCACCACAAGGGCACTTTGCCTGGAGATGGGCTTTAAATGCAAACTGAATCCAGCAACACAGTGCTGCAAAATAACGGTGCCAACAATTTGCCAGGTTGTCCCTCGTTGTTTTCCAACCACCCAAAAAAGTTTTCCGGTTCATGAGATTCACTTTCACTTTTAAAGAGAGATAGAAACAGGCTTGAGGAAGTATACTTCTACTGCACCTCCTACGGAACCTGGGAGTGCTGTGGATTTCTTGAAACACATTAAAGAAGAACGCTGGGAAACATTATTCTTGCCCCTTGCAGTGTGAGGGGAGCCCTCTAGTCCTCTTTTCCATCTACTTGTGAGCATAACAAGGTTATACTCACCCGATCCTCAGAGCGGGCTGGTTGTTAAGCTGGCCATACACCTATAGATTATCTGCAGGTTTTCTGTGGTCAGATGGAAAAAGTGCAACAGATTCCTCCATCTACGCTAAACTGTGTGGATGGAGGAATCTCCCACTGGGCCAAGCTTAAGTATCTTGCTAGTTGGCCCCGCTGGCTCTCAAAATACCCGAACAATGTCTGCACCCAATCATGTATTTTGACAGCCAGCGGGGCTGACTAGCAAGATACTGAAGCTTGGCCCAGTGGGAGATTCCTCCATCCACACAGTTTAGCGTAGATGGAGGAATCTGTTGCACTTTTTCCATCTGGCCATAGAAAATCTGCAGATAATCTATAGGTGTATGGCCAGCTTTAGACTGGTCCTTCCAGCCTCGCTCCCCCACTGCTCCAGAGGTCTAAGGCACCAGGAGTCATCATGTCTTATACACTGTATGGAATGTGGGGACACTGAGGGACGTACCACGCTGCACTAGAGAAGAAGAGAGGCTGGAGGAAGCACTCTAACAGCCAGCCAGCTATGAGGTTCAGGCGAGTATAACTTTGTTATTTCACCCTAGACAAAAACAAGCACTTAACCTTTGCAGTAAGGGGGGGTACTGTGGAAGGGTCAGGAATAACTTTTCCCGGAGTTCTTCTTTAAGGTAAATTCAATGAACGGACTTTTGCCCCGCTGCAGTGTGCTTTATACACTTACTACGAAGTACAGCAACCCCGGCCAACCAGATAGGAACAAGGGGACTTCTAATTGGCTGCACTTCAGAATACCTAAGACCCAATCACCCTTTTAGATTGTAAGCCCTCAGGGGCAGGGACTTCCGTACCATCTTGTCTTGAATTGTATTGTGATTGTAATGTCTGCCCTATATTGTAAGGCGCTGCGCACATTGTTGGCGCTATATAAATCCTGCGTAATAATAATGGTGTGTTATGGAGAAGTTCCCTGAGGATGATGATGAAGTTCTTGTAGTTTCACTAATCTAATCAGAAGAAAGGAATCTATTATTAAAGCTGAACTCTTCAGTCTTCTCTCCTGTACTGAAATGTCTTACTCCGACCTCACTGCACACTGTGACCACCTCATATGGTGCATTAGAAGCTGCAGCCAGAGAGAGAGCCCTGCTCATTTGCTGGCTGGATCTTTCCTCCCCAGCCTACTCACTTCATTCATTAGATTTCAATCCTTTCCATCGTGGGGGCTTAGCACCACACGTGGGCATTGACCTAATGTAGTCTGCACGCATATGAAATCTCCTCCAGACTGATCCCTAGCCATCAAGCCATTGTGATATTTGCATAACTTCTCTCAAGAGCCACCGCACTGCTTGCATCAAGTCTCTTGAGAGAAGTACTGCTGCAGAATACTGTAATGTTGAGAAAGCCATGCACAGCACCCTGCTGACCTGTCCCACTAGCTATAATCGGCCTGTATTGCATAAAGAAGCACAGAGACCCAGTGATGACATTACTGGCTCTGAAAGAAGATATGTAACAAAAACAGAAAGGTTTGATTTAAAAACGCAATCAGCACATTGATGACGGGAAAAGGAAAGAAAAAGGCAGATGTAAGCAGATAAAACTTCAGCTTGTGACACAAGAAGAATATAGGAAGTAATACCGTAGTACATGAAATGAGAAGAGGACGTAAAGCTGGAAATAGATCAAAGAGATAACGCAATCTGGTATACAAATAATCCAGGTCTGTCAGTATATAGATGACATACAAAGCCCTCAACCATTATATAGCGGGTCCGTGTACAGTAACAAACCTGAGCACCATATCACAAAGGATGGTATGAGGATCACATAGACTCCTACATAACCCCCCTTGTCCCAGCAATCAGACAGATCACAATAAACTTCCTATAGTGGTCTCAGCACAAATTGCTCCAACCTAGGCAGTAAGGTCCAGCAACTAGATGGAAATCAATGTATGTGTCCCTGAGGACATCCATTGTAGAAAGGCTTGAGCGAAGCAGAAAAATGCCCTGCCATTAAGTTTCAGCCTAAGAAGCAATGTATGCATATGGTATAGAGCAGCCCCCCCTGTAAGCCCTCCCCCAAACACAGGCCCATTCCATGCCCTGCACAAACAAAAGGCCATCCTATAGCTAGAATCCCAGCTTGCGTTCTCTATGCATTGCACACCCTGCTAGCAGCTGAAATGTCATTACAAAGCCCACAGCAGCCATCCCTGGCACAGCTCCTATGCCCAGGCCTCTGGCCCACCCCACCCGCACCGTGCACGGCCCCTTGCAGGCCGATGGGCCCCAGCACTGGAGAAGAAGAAAGCGAAGAATGGAGGCTACTTACGTGAAAACAAAAAACAAAGTGGTGGATCCCACTAGTAAGGCAGCTGCAGTGGAGACAGGGATGTATTTGGTCGGTTTAAACCTTTTTCCAGTGCTGCTGGGCATTCTGTAGGTTACACATCACTAGTCAGATCCTAAGAGAGAGGCACCAGGGGGGGAGAGAGGGGCACTGACCGCACGATCCACGGAGGAGGGAGACACACTCACTCACACACACAGTGAATGGGGAGGGGGAGAAGGAGACAGACATACAGGGAACAGCTGACCTGATCGCACAGGAAATCCCACCCAGCTGAGCCCAGCCCTCTGCCAGATGACGGCTTAAGGTGGAACCGGCATCTACAACACGGCATTCCTACTATAGGACTCACACCGTACTGATCATCTCATTAATGTATCACCCAACTCTATGGGAGCCAGAACTCCATATTACACCGCCACTGCAACCCATGACGGACATTGCTGGGAGAATGATACCGAGCTCTGACTTTAGCTGCCATTGTGGTGGAGTTTTGAAGACTAGGACAGCCAGGTCACAACACAGTTACAGCACACCGTAGTTTACTTCTGCTTTAACAACTCAGTCATCCTCTGGAGGTGTCTCCATGACTGTGCCCCCTAGAGGCGGCTCCATGACTGTGCCCCCTTAGAGGTGTCTCCATGACTGTGCCCCCTTAGAGGTGTCTCCATGACTGTGCCCCCTAAAGTCGTCTCCATGACTGTGCCCCCCTAGAAGCGTCTCCATGACTGAGCCCCCCTAGAGGCGTGGCCATGACTGTGCCCTCTAGAGGCGTCGCCATGACTGTGCCTCCTAGGGGCGTCTCAATGACTATGTTTCCCCCCCAAAGGTATCTCCATGACTCTAGCCCCCCCTAGAGGTATCGCCATGACTCTAGCCCCCCCTAGAGGTATCGCCATGACTCTAGCCCCCCCTAGAGGTATCGCCATGACTCTAGCCCCCCCTAGAGGTATCGCCATGACTCTAGCCCCCCCTAGAGGTATCGCCATGACTCTAGCCCCCCCTAGAGGTATCGCCATGACTCTAGCCCCCCCTAGAGGTATCGCCATGACTCTAGCCCCCCCTAGAGGTATCGCCATGACTCTAGCCCCCCCTAGAGGTATCGCCATGACTCTAGCCCCCCCTAGAGGTATCGCCATGACTCTAGCCCCCCCTAGAGGTATCGCCATGACTCTAGCCCCCCCTAGAGGTATCGCCATGACTCTAGCCCCCCCTAGAGGTATCGCCATGACTCTAGCCCCCCCTAGAGGTATCGCCATGACTCTAGCCCCCCCTAGAGGTATCGCCATGACTCTAGCCCCCCCTAGAGGTATCGCCATGACTCTAGCCCCCTTTGAGGTATCGAAAACACATTTTAATTTTATGGTACCCAAAAGAATATCTAAAGTTACTCACAATATGGCAGTAAATGGTCAGTCCTATCAAACCTGTTATATCAGTTGTTGGTAGACGTTAAAGTAAATCTGCAGCTTTCATGTGATCAGAGGTCATTGATGCCCAGACCAAATTTAGCAGCGTCAACAGTTAGCTTAAAGCGGAAGTAAACTGTTTTTTGTTTGTTTTAAATGCTGACAGGTAGGTTCTGTATGTCTCGTGTGTCATAAGTGCTTCTCCCTGTCTGTTAGTGGGTTTTTGTTTTTTGTGTGTGTACTGAACCACGCATGTGAATTCAGTGTGCCTCCCGTGCACATGTGCAGGAGTCATTCCTGCCAATCAAAACGGGTGAAGACTCCACACCCAGAAGCAGACCAGGTGAAAATGGAACTGACGGTGATGGAGGGCAGCATGGACATCGCATGTGCTGGAGGGGATCGCTTTGCTAGGTACGTGTGCCATAATATACAAATATGCCAAATACCTTACGGCAAAAATCTGGGGGCCCAAATTTTTACAATTTTTCTGGGTAGTTTACTTCTGCTTTAACAACTCTTCGACTGGTTTGCATACCGAAATAGTTGTATACATATCTTTAGGAAGTTTGTATTTGGTACACTGTTCTCAACTCTGCTCTGTTTTTCTTATAGGCTGACAAATACCCCCAAAAACGTTAAAAAATTAAATGTGTTCTTCTTAATGGTGCAACTGTATCTGACAGTTGCAATATTAAATAGATGGCACTGCAGATGAACATAAGGCAGACTGAAGGCTTTCATTTTTGTCAATGGAGCCTCCAGCCTGCATGTAATCACTATGCCAGTTGATAGAGAAATGATATGATCGTGAACCACTTGAAATGGTTTTTCATTGTCAACGTGGAACCCAAATGTAACTGAGAGCAAGCAACTGTGCAAAGTGTTCATTAAAGTGTCCTTCCTGCTATGGAGTGATGACAGTCAAATTGTGTTCCCGTGTTGTTCCACATGCCCCTGGAGACTACAGACAGTTGTGGGGACACACATTGGGCACGGTTCTCTGCTGACACTTTAGGGGTCACAGAAGCAAATACAGGCGTATGGGCATACATGTACATACAGTCCTATGGGCAACAATACACAACAGCTGGGGCTCCCAGTGCTGAAAATACTGACTTATTTTACACTGCACATGCGTGGTTCAGTGCACGCAAACAACAAAAAAAACACTAACAGACAGGGAGAAGCATTTATGACACACGAGACATACAGAACCTACCTGTCCGCATTTAAAAAAACAAAAAACAGTTTACTTCCGCTTTAAGTTAGCCGACTTATATTGAAGCTGCTAAATTTGGTCTGGGCCTCAATGACCTCTGATCACATGAAAGCTGCAGATTTACAAAGACTGAAAAACTACTTTAATTACATTAACATGTTTAAGTTTACATAAGATTTTACTGGTTGAGGAAAGATCTACTTTAACATCTACCAACAACTGATATAACAGGTTTGATTGGAGTGACCATTTACTGCCAAATTGTGAATAACTTAGATATTCTTTTGGGTACCATCAAAATTAAATGTGTTTCTGATACCTCTAGGGGGGGCTAGAGTTGTGGAGATGCCTCCAGGGGGGCTAGAGTGGTGGAGATGCCTCCAGGAGGGCTAGAGTGGTGGAGATGCCTCCAGGGGGGCTAGAGTGGTGGAGATGCCTTCAGGGGGGCTAGAGTCGTGGAGATGCCTCCCTACACCTCCTATTTGTATCCATGTTAATGAGCCCTAAGAAAGCCAGCCCAGTGCAGTATGTGCATGTAGAGTAAGTAGCTTAAAGAGGTGTCAGTGATAATCAGATACAAAAATGGATGAAAAAATGGAAATAAGCATTTTACCAAAAACAAAATGGCAGTAGTTTATGATACAAAGTGCTTTAGGAAACTAAATGTCATCCAGTTAGGGTTTAAATCAGAGGTAGGCAACGTCGGCACTCTGGCTGTGGTAGTCAGCTTATGGGACTACAAGTCCCAGGAGGCATTGCAAGACTCTGAAAGCCTCAGGCATGACGGTATTTGTAGTTTCACCACAGCTGCAGTGCCGAGGTTACCTAACCTTGGTTTAGATCCACCTGACAGAGCATTATAGGTCTCGAGGAGCATATTGGTCAGATCTCTGTGTTTGAGTTCTTGAGTCAAACAATTGTTCCTGTCTTATGTTACCCAGAAACACAAAGATTGTTACCGGATGTACTCCATGTACACAGAAATGTCGAAGCTCGACAGTAGCAGACTCGCAAAGATGGAGCCTTGAATTGTTCACTTTCTAACCTCAGGAATGGGATGATCACATGTGAGCTGTGATTTCATGGCATTAATGTTTCAAGACACGTAAATAATCCCTTGTCTGCACGAAACCTACACTCATCCAAGAGTTTCACACTTGAAAAAGTGATCTCACGGGTTTCAGGTCACACCCCCTTGTCGGATGTATTTAACTCTGACTGACAGAGAAGGAACTCTGATCCATAAGGTGATCACTAGAGAACATGTGCTGATACAATTAAGTAGGCTGTTATTACTGGTCTTGCTGGATCTGTCAAGCTGATCCAATGGTTTCAATGTTTTCTGAGTCACTAATCAAGAACATGGATGGAACAACATGTATTTTTTTTATAATGTCACAACTCTAAATCTGCATATTTGTTACATACTTTCTGTTCCACAGCAAGTATTGTAGCCAAGGCAGGTAGCATTTTTAAAAGGAGATGTCAACAGCAGCCTACATTGTGTCAGCACCGGTTTCTTTTCAGATGAATCAGATTAATATGTTTTCGGCAGAACACAATTGGCTATTGTGATATAGAATGTGATTTTATCATTTATTATTACTAATAGTGTTTTTTTCTATAGCACCATCATCTCCAGTGGCAGTGTTCAAAGTAACTACTTTAGGACCCGGACCCTATTGACTAATCTCAGTGATAATAGACTATCATGGTAGATGACTGCTGTCCTTTCTCATGCACCAAAGAAGGATGGGCAAGATCCTTGTTCTGCCCAGAGGCATTGTGAAAGCCCTACTTGATCTGGGATGATGGAAAATATACTTTAATCAGCCTTTTGGAATAGGTGCTCCTAATATGAACTAAGTAGGACCCCCTATAGCCTTCAATTGTTTGTGTTATGGACTCACTGAGGGCCCATTCAGATTGTACCACTGTGTTGCGCTGTGTTCCCACATTCACTTTACCATGGGTAGCAGTGAGATGAACTGTTAACTTTAAATTGGACTGCCCACTAACCATATATTTTAATGGATGTATATTTTTTAAACACAACACACATGGTTCACGGCTGTGTGTTGGTGTGCATTTGTCTCTCGTGGATTTTGGTGTGCTGTTTATGTGCATAGGGTGCCATTCAAAATGTATGACCCTGCAACTTACCACACCATGTATCATGCATTGCAATGACACACAGCCAAAACCTGCATTTCCACATGAATAGCTGCATATTTATAAATCAAGGAATGTAACGTTCACTAAGCATTCACTGATGGTGAGTTATTGACTGTGTATTAAACCACATTGACCAGGATGATTCACCTGCAGTGAATGTTTGCCGATTGTCACATTATGTGAATGTAAGGTAATGGAGTACACCGTCACCTCTCAAATAATTCAGAGTATAGATCTCTGAAATAAACCATGGAGCATGCAGATCTTGTGAACCTTTGTTCTTAAATAGTGACAGGGTGAGCACAGAGGCTTCTCATAAACAAGTGTAGCCCCCATCACCTTCTGTGAGGTGGCTACTAAACATTTAGTGATTGCCAGGGCTGTAGTCAGCCTGGCTGGTTTATACTGGCATTATCTGGTTAATTCCGGGTGTCTGGCATTGACTGTACCCCCCTGGGTGGAGTGTGACTCTGCTGCAT